ACACACACACACACACACCGGCTAACCTCGGACTCAGAGGATCGGTGGTGGTGACGGTGGCTGAGGGCAAACACTCACACACTCAAACACCGCAGAGCAGACTCCTCCCGACCGCTGGAACGTTAAGATCAGCCTTGTGTGTGCATTTCAGCAAAGGGCGGTGTGGTTTTGTCACATGCTGGCGTAACAATCCAACAAACAGAATTCACAAACTGGCAATAGAAAGGACTATTTTTATGGTGACACACACAACTAACAGCACATTACTGACAATATACGACATGTGTAACCTAACCCGATGTTAATGACCGTGTTCGCGGAGTTCGACAACCAGCATGCACTAATTGTCTCTTCCTCTGCAGTTCCACCTTAATGTCTACACTGTGTTGCCCTTAGCAACCCAGCAGCACACACACACACACACTCTCTCTCTCACACACAAGGTGGTGTGTATCATGTGTGTCTTTGTTACAGGAAATAAGAGGTCATTGACTTGAGTCACTGTATGCAAAAATTTTGATTTGCGAATGTCATTTTGTTTTTCTTCTCGTTGTTTTCTGGTTAATTTATAATCCAGTTGTACTTTTGTTAACTAGCTTGAAAGAAAAGTCTATTTATTTTTCAGTTCCATGTCATATCACCATTCGCGGAGAGTGATTTAGTATTATGGTTAAAGAAATTGTGATTTTTGTACCAAGGAAATGTCCGCTCTGCTATTTGACATTATTTGTGTGTAAAGTGTGTTTCTACTTCATTGTAACATTACATTATTCACTAGGTCGCTGATTCTAGTGGCAGCCTTGTTTCTTCATTTTTCTCTTTTGCTAATGACTACAATTCCCAGACCATGACCAAAGGGGTTTGCCCTTCATGTGTAGAGAGAACTACAAATATGAATGACAGGAGACCTGAGCAGAGTGGACCAATGAGAGCGGCTTTCCTCCCTCATGTCCCTCTCCAGCGTCTCTCCATCTAGGCTCTTTTTTCAAATGTCCTGTCGTTGATGGGGCCGAATTGTCTCTGTGTTATCTCAGTGTAAGAGATGAAGTTTATGAAAAACTAATGAAAGTACAGTAAGAAAGAATACATCTTAAGGTGATTTTTATTTATTTATTGTCTCTCTGAGGGAGTCTGGACTCGGGGGGGCAGGAGAAGAGTCCGCCACCTTTTGATGCTGTGCTACTCTCAGTGTGATGATGAGAACATGGAGGGAGGGAGGGGTGTTACTAGGAGTCAATTGTGTAAAAGTAAAAACAAAAAACTAAAATTATAAACAATTTTTTGTTCTGTTTTTGTATTAAAAATATGCTTGCAGTAAAACTGTCTCTTGCCTTTGATTCGTTGGGTTTCTTTGTGGAGTTGTGCACAAAAAATCTGAACGTTTCTGTTTGTGTGTGAAAGTAAGTGTGCTGTGTGTAAACGTGGGAAATGTCAGAACTGAAATGATTAGCCAATTAATTCATAGAAAATGAATGGGCAAACATTTTGACAATCAGTCACTTCATTTTTTTAACCAAAAGTGCCAAAATTCATTGATTCCAGCATCTTAAATGTTAAACTGTTGGGTTTTTTGAAGCAGTTTGTCAACTTTATCCCAATTTTCATACATGATATTAACTAAATGATTAATTGAGAAAATAATTCTCCATAGCCCGAAGTAAAACATTAGAGAATATGGCTTAATAGACACATAATGTACCGTTTTTGTCATTTATTTGTCAGTGTTTTGTCATTTTTGTCCACAGGATTTCTATATTGATAGAATCTTTCATCATGTTTATGTGTGTAAATGCCCCAGTGCACACATCTCTAATTTTTCTTATATATGTATTATGTTTTCTACATCATGATGTTCTTAAATGTATTTTATGTTTAGAAAGACATGCTTTGTGTCTTGGCGTGATATCAGTTTTTTAATACTTGAATTAGTTTTGCTCTTATGTTTAGTGTTTTGTCTAAAACACAAATCCTAGAGCTTGTGTGAACATGTGCATACGTTTATAATTTTTGTATAGATTGAACTGAGCTAAATAGAGATTTCTTTTCTCTTGTGTGTACATGTGCATGCCTACATTCACTCACGGCAGCCAGCAGACCACAGACTCCGAGGCACTGACCGGACATTTCTAGGTAATTATCCTGTAAGAGATAAGGATACGCCCGATTGGATCTTCTGTGCACAGACGGGAGGTAAACACAGGGGAGGTGGTGGTGACGGTGGAGAAGTAATTTCAATAATTCCTAATGTCTATTTTCCCTCCGCTCTGTCTCAGTGTTTGTCATTTTAAGTCCTTAATCACAGTCCCCGTTTGTGTCTCTGTGTGAGACAGAGAGAGAGAACTTGAAAATAACTTTGTCCTGTTTATTTGGTGGTTCCACCGGAGATGATGAGGTCTGAGTCCACCCTCTGCAGCTGTGTGTACACACACACACACACACACTCACTCCTCTCATTTTCTGTCCACTCTCAATCCATCTACGCCCGTCCTGCCTGCAGTCCATCTGTCATCCCAGACCTCTCTCTGATGACAGTCCTCGCTCTGTTCCACCACTTCTGTCTCTCAGGAATGTCATTTTTCATTTCTGTTGGGTTTATATGGTTTTATGGGCACTCAGCTCCCCTTTACTCCCTCCTTCTTTTCTTTTTTGTCATTCCTCAACTCACTCCCTCTTTCTGTTCTTTCACCTCCTCCTCTTCATCTTCTCTCACCATTATCTCTCCAGACAAAACCTCCTAAAGTTGCAGATGTGCAGAGGAAAGAAAAACAAAATGGGTAGAGCGTTAATTCCTGGCATTTGGGACTCGCCCTTTCGGCCAGGACAAAATGAACCGCGGTCAGTTTGGTTTGGTCAGTGTTATTCATGCCTTTCAAAGTGACCACAAGTACCAGGCCGCTTTGAAGAAAAGAGTACACAAACACGGGCTGGCACAGGGCTGAACCTCACTACTATATTTGAGTCATTTCTTCCCTCCAAATCCTTTTGGTTTAAACACACACATGCACCCAGTGTATTTGCATTAGGCTCGCTGCAGGGAGAGCTCGGTAAACTAATGAATGGCTCAACGGGAAACGGCGTTGCACGGTGTAACGCAAAACCTGCCACTTCAGAGAAGAAGTGTTAAAGATTTTTGTTTAATGTTTGCTCAACGGCAGTTTTAACTTTGGAGTTAAAATTTGGTGTACTGTGTTCTGTTTCAGCTCCAAACCACAGCTATGACAGTGATGTTAGAGAGTTTAGAGCTTTAACTTCGACAAAGACGTATAAAAAAATAAAATATCCAAAATGAAAAATGGGACAACGGTTATAAAACCCTGAAACTGACAAACGGTAGTAAAAGGTAATCGGACATGTCACAAAACATATAATTAAATTCATCAACAAACAACATTATTAGTTTAATTCAAATGGAGTGAAAATGGAGCATAAGCTAAAAACGCTAAACATTAGCAAGTGAATGCTAATTCGAAGTTCACAGACATTATTATGTTCATATTATCTAAATCTTCAAGTGCATGTCTTTTTGGAAATAAGTTTTGGATGATGTCACCTTTCACATTTAGTTTATTTGTGTCTTTTTACTCACAGTGCCAAAATAAAAGCATTAGCTTGCAAGCTAAAATGCTGTAACTGCTGTTGAAAGAGATTATACAGTGATCCTACAGTATGGAAGCCGAGAATGTCCCTGCTTGCAATTATTTTTTATGTTATCTCGAGATCATGAGTTAATTATGTTTATCAGGGATCAGGAGTGCCATACTAGCATATGTGGATGGAATATTATAGATGTAGCATTCAATATAATCGACAATGCATTAAGGAATGACATGCAAGGTGCCAGTTTAACATTAATTTTGATGAGCCAGCAGCCAGGAAAAAGTGCATTTAATTATTTATTAAATCTTAATCTTAATCTCTTAAAATATTTTGTCAGTACTGCATCACAGAGCCAGGAAATGAACTCTCAGATTTACGTTCTGGCAAAAACTCCTGTCAGTTCAGTTATAAATCCTCCCTGACAGTCATGATAGTGATCTTGAAGGCTGACACTCACTTTCACATTCTCATAATTATCCCGTGATCTTGACAAAACAACAGTTGTTTTCTCACAATGGTGTCTTGTTATCTTTTATATCAGCCTTTTGTTTTCTCAAGATAAATAAACTTGCGATCTTGAGATAACGGCATTAAAAAGACTGCAAGCACAGCCGTTCTCAACTTCCATAGCAGTATTAGTCAAGTATATGATTAACATTATGTGCTAGGTAGCTACCTGGAAAAAGGTAGTTAGTTGCCATGGCTTCAGGTAAGCTAGCTAGTCATAAAGTCCTCTCTGTGTGTGCTAAGAACCAAAAACTAAAGTTGAAAAATAAAATGAAAAAAAACAAATATATAAATTTAAAGCTCTTTTTTTTTATCCACTAATCGGTAATAAGTCTAAAACTAAGGACCATTTTGACTAACTGACAGGAGGTTTATTTAGGTCATATGTACATTAAATGGAGACTGAGTTAAAAACTCCATGTAGTAGGTTTATTTAACAGTATTGTTTATTGATGTACTCAGTTATCATTTTGACTGGTCTGATAACTAGTCACTGCCTCTTGTCAGTCTTTGCACTCAATACACAGCAACATTTGTAGAGAAATTACATCCACTTGGCTTTACAACCCCTTACACAGGCTGTGTGTAGAGTTGCTATTAAGCAGGGCATCAGGCCATTGACGTCCTTCCCGCCAAGCCGCCTGAGACTCAACGTTAAGTAGCTATGAAAGGAAGCAGTCATGAGAAGATGAAAAGATAGATGGGTGGAGGTAAGAAGGGGAGAGAGATGAGGTCTCCCAAAGAGACCACTGGGAGGGGTGATGATGAGATGTAAGCAGCGGAGAGAAGTTTAAAGACTTGAAAGAGGTCGAGAGGCGGAGGCTGGGAGGGAAACTCCCTCCTGGTTCTGAACAACTGTTACACTCTCTGAGCTTCATACACAGGATACACTCTCTCTGCTGCACAGCTCTGCTTTTAGATGCTCACACACTCCCAGACAGACTGGGAGCGTGTGCAAAGAGCTGCCACAGATTTGAAGACTGTGGAAGAAACCTCTCGTCTCTCCCAAGGATTACAATCAGGAAGCAATTTCCTGGAGTAATAATTTTTATAAATTGGATTAAGAAAGACATCTGGAACCCCAGAGACGTGTGGGTGGGAAGCGGTCGTCAATGGATGAATAAGTACTCAAGGATGACTGGATAAAAGTTTCCAGCAGTGATTGCTCCACAGCAGACGATCCTCATGAGGTATCTGGTCGAACGTTGACTCACTGCAGGTGTGAGCTTCATTTCCTCGTGAGGTCAACGGGGAATGGGAGCAAATCTGATGACACAGCTCTCAAATTTCACTCCAATCTCTGAGGCACCTGCTCATCACTGAAATTGCTTCCCATCCTCCAAGTTTACAACTTCAAAGCGTAGACCAATCTTCCACAGAGGCATTGTTTGTCTATATTCAAAACACATTGTAAGCTTGTAATTATGCCCTCACTCTCATTATCTCTGTTTCTTCTGCTGCACGACTAAGAGGTGAGGTAGAAGTGGATCAGAGGGTGAGGAGGGATTTTTTTTTCCTGCTTCAAGATTAGAGAAGGTAGAAGAGGGAGAGAGGAAGGCAAAGGGGGAGGGAGAGATAAACAGAGGCAGTTTAAGGCGGTAAACACATCCCATCCAGAGCCAGCTCTCCTCTAAACACATCAGGCATACATCAGCACTGCATTTGTCCGCGGTGACTCTGAAACAGCAGGACAAACAGTCAGTGGACAAACTGAAGCGAGTAGAAAACACTGTGGTTGTCAGTCTGGAAACACTGGAGGGAAGATAAAGTGAAGAAATCTGTGCAGTTGATTATTAGTGAGGATAAAAATCTTGATTTCCCAGCAGAGACGAAGAGCAAGAGACAGCCATGGACTCAGACGTCTCCCACACTTTCTCTTGTGTCTGCAGCAAGATGAAACAGCAGCATATGAGCAAATGCAGCGGTGGCGTCTACCAGCACCAGACCAGATCCACCTCCAGACCCCACCGGCCTCTCCTCCACCCCAGGACCCTGCTCCTCCTGCCCCTGCTGCTCCTGCTCTTTCTCTCCCTGTGGAGCCAGCAGGCAGAGGCCGTGGTCCACTCCAGCTTCAGGCGGCTCAGCGGCCGCGAGAAGAAGGAGATGCAGAAGGAGATCCTGTCCATCTTGGGTCTGCCGGGGAGACCCAGACCCCACCCGCCACTACGACCGCCCTCCTCTGCACCGCTCTTCATGCTCGACCTGTACCATGCCATGTCAGCTGATGGGGAGGACGAAGGGAATGAAATTATAGTAAACGGACCTGGCATGGGGAAGTTTGGGGCGGCAGAGAGGTTGGCTCAGGTCAACCATGCAGCCCCGCCGACCCTCAGCACGCACACACCACCGCTGGGCACGGTGGTCAGCGAGGCCGACACGGTGATGAGCTTCGTCAACCTGGGTGAGTAAACCGTGGAGACACCTGCCATTGGGTGGGGGGGAGGGGGGTGTAGAGGCAGACAGGAAGTGATGCA